AAACTGCTGTTGCACATCAGCCAGATGGACAGGGAAAACAGGGTTATGAGCCTTCCTCTGCCTAGAGCCTCATGTGACATACTGATAGGAATACTGTAATTCTCAGTTTGTTCAACACATTGGCTGTAGGCATCTTAAAATATACAGCTAACATTAAAATCAAGAACAGATCAGGCTGGAAATCTTGTTTTTATAAATGAGAAAAGCTACACACATTCCTGAAGTTGTAAATACTTGGCAAATACAAACAGAGCTCTTAATGCATGAATGAATTAATACAATAAAACAAATCAGAAAGGTGGGTTTCTGCAAAGAATAAAGCAATATGGTTTTCTTCCATCCTCTAGTTCCCTGTCAGTTAAGTATTGCTCCATACTTTCTTTCCTTTGCTTGCTTCCTTTGTTCACTGTGTGGCTGTTGCCTTAAGAAAAGGCAGCAAAGTTACAACTGAATGTGGAGTAAGATCTAGTTCTTTCCCCCTGCTGCAAAATATAAATAGGATATTAGAGACCAATACATATAAACTTTCCCTAGCTTGTACAATAGAACAACAGTGAAGCTGTGTATACAGCAAAGACTCCAATTGCTGTTTTCCATCAGCCTCACTATTTTAACTGTCACAGTGAAAATCCCTTTGGTTTCTGCCCAGTTGTTGCACTTTGTTTGCTGTCTTGTCAAGAGAAAACTACCTTGAGTGTCAGTGAGTGCAGTGTGTGAACAAACGTGCCTAGCACTGGAAAAGGGTAATGGCTCACTCATTAGAAGGAAATTGTCTGGAGTAGTTCTTCTTAGTTAATCACCCCTCCTATGTTAGCCTTTGTTTATGCAGTTTCTAAATATATGTTGTGCTGTGTAGACTTTTAGCTCAGCTCTTACTCTCAGTGGCTTCTTACAGGGATTTCCCCTTGCTGTCCTTAAAATAAGCAAGATCTTGTATCAACATACGATGTTGACCTCAGGGTGTCATAAACCACTTTTAACAGTTCACTCACAAATTGGCATTCCTAAAAGTGAGAGATAGTGAGATTTACAAGTACTGACATCTCCCTATGTTGATTCCAATTTACTTTCTAGGAGTTTGGGGGGAATTTTTTTCTAAGTGAGGCTTAATGTAAAGTCTTTTGACTATTTTTACATAGGCATGTTTTCATTTAGAGTATAATATTCCGGAACTGAGTGTGCCTTTTGTATGTCTGCAAAGCTTTCAATAAGAAAGTCGTGTTCTCAGAGTTCCAGTTAACACTATAAATAGCTTTAGAATAATGTTGTGCTGAGAGCCACAGTACTCCCATTGGTATTTCTGGGAATCCTGTGGAGAGACTGAGGAGCAATGTTCAAGGAAGAAAGAGAATCCTTGTTGGATTTGACTCTCAACAAGATTTTTATACAGTGTTACATTTAGGTTGAAGTTGCCCTCCATATTCCTGCACTTCCTGGTGTTCGGTGGTATTTCTTGGAAAACTACATGTGGCTGCCACTTCCTACTTGAGACTTTGCAAAGGCATCTGCAACTACAATTTCAACAGCTGCTGTATGAAGAGAGCTTACAGATAAGCCTCTCTGTTCCACAGTCATTTCCTCCTGTCTATAAACAGCTCTGTTTTTGTGACAGTTCTTTCATCATCATCAACTTGACTGAATCCAGAATTCTCCTTCCTCCTTCTATTTGTGTTGTGGATGTCTCAGGCACTCTTCAGGTCAGCTAGGCCTGCTTGTGTAGATTGTTTTTGCATGGTATCGTGGAGATAAGATCCATCCAAGCTATCCATCCAGATAAAAAATTACTTGTATTGAGTCTTTCATCTCAGTCATTTCGAAATACATCAGCTTGCAAAAGCAGCCTTGCCCTACGCTCATCCAGTCAAAATGCCATTGCTAATGCAGTGACTGCTCTCTTTCTCTCCCTCCTGTTTTTAAACTCTGTGATTCTGATCATGTCATCCTGTTTGATTTTCTTCACTGGTTCCTTCTTTTCTGTTATGTTAAACATAACAGCTAGCCTTCACTCCCTAAGCTGTTCAAGGTCTTTTTATTTGATATCAAAAGACCAATTTCCATCTGAACAACATTGGTATCCATCACTTTCCCATTATGCTTTTATGCTAGCATCTTTTGTCTTTCCTCCGTGATCAATTTATGGAGGAATGGAAAACTTCAACAACCACAGATCTGTTTCATTGGCCTCCTGCAAATCCTTGGAATTCTCATTCACTGTGATACCTCCATGTGCTTGACTGTGATTAGACTAATTACTTACTGATGTACCTAATTGAACTGTTGTACTGTGACTAATGTGCTATGTTCAGTCCACTGTTGTCTTAGCGTTTCTTTGAACATTCCTGCTTGCATCTAGCTCCTTGTAATCTGGCTAGTATTTGTACAAAACCCAGCACTTAGGACTCATGAGCCCTCTGGCACTTGGAAGTTCAGAATCATTGAGTGATTAAGGTATGCTTTGTTGTTACTGAGTCTGTATAAATGGCTGATGGTTTATGACATGTTGTGGATTCCAGTGAATAATTTCTCCCACCTCTGTTGAACTTACATACCACTTCATTAGGAATGAATACAGACAGGCATATAGCATCTGGAGATTAATACATCATAAAGTATTTGTAGATAAAGGAATAATAAAAAACAAAAACAAACTCAATCTTGACCCATTTTTTTGAAGAGTTGCATACATGAGAAGCTCTCTTCAACATAGGTACCCACAGACTTTTGACTTCCTAGAGACTGCAAATGTGCTTTTACTATGTATGCATAGAAAAACTCTGAAATTCACTTGACCTTCCATACCTGATATAAAACGTATAGATTTTTCCTTTTGGGGCCAAAATAATTTGTAATGATTATTTGTTCTTTCTTTATCAACTGTTTACAGCTTTCAAATAATTTCCATTGTAATAGTGTTTTTGAAAAGTGCTTCTAAACACTGAATTTTGAAATGAAGACTAAAAGGTGCAAAGTCTTTGGGCTTAGGTAGACCTGTAACATCCAAGCCTATGTACGTTTACAGGTTTCAGTTGAAAAATTCAGTGTAACATCATTTAATAATTTTTGGTGTCTTAGTTCAAGAGCTGTACTAATGCAATGATAAAACAAAGGTGCCTTTGAAATAAGAGCAAGCTATTAGAGGTATATTCAGTAATTGCTGATTAATAAAACAAGGATAAAACGTAACCAAAAGCATATTGACCAAGGAGATGAGTCAGTGATGAATAAGTGCAGCCCAGGCACAATAACTTTTATGTATGTTGTTCATCTTTTCCACTGCGTATATCACATGTATCAGTGTCTCTGTCCCAGTTTTGTCAATAGAGCTCTTCATTCAAATGAAGAGTCAAAACAAAGCTAGTCACTGAAAATTATTATTCAGGTTTGTAGTGTGTCTTGAACCTTTTATAATTTGGCATATATAACTGCAAACAAACTTCGGCAAAAAGCAAGTAAATGGGCGTGTGCATATCTGCAAAGAAATGTTCGCTGTAACCATGATGGTGTGACTGACAAGTACAGAAACAGTGGGGGTTATCTAATGTTTCTGGTTTGGGAAGTAAAATGCTACCTACGTAGAACTATAATCCAGTCAAGATTTTTTTTACTAATTAGTGACACTATGAACAACGTGAGGGAGATCAATTCGCAGACCTCATGCTGCATGCTGCATTCAATAGCCACTGGTTCTGACTTACAAGACCAGATCGAATACCTCAGCTTATGGAGCCCAGTTTTGCTTCAGTCTCAAAATACTGCTTTGTGAAATGTACAGCTTGGCATCTTGAGTTTGCAGAGTTTAAAAATGTACCTTTGTTAGATTAATGAATTCATTGTAAGTAGTGCAGCTCCTTTATCCCTCATAAAGAATAAAAGATAAGCTAGTATTTAATTTGGTCAGAAAATTTAAAATCAAATAGTTATTTTCCTTCTTTTAATCAGTTTTAATTGCCTACTATTATATTGCAAATTGTATAATTTGAAAAGCACTGAGAAAAAGTTTTGTGGTTATTAGATGTTAGTATTCAAATCTGCCTGGAAGTGTGTATTGCCATGGGAATCAGTGCTTCTGAATACCATTCCAGGCCATACCAGTGATATTCTATATTTTTGCAGGCAACTTAATCCTTTGGTTCCTTAGAGACAAGATGTATTAAATGGAGATGTGACCACATCTCTTAAGAGCAATGTGGTGTTAGTATTCTGTGCCATGTTCTGAAGAAGTGACTATTCCTAGAATTCCTTTTTTACTTCAGATGACAATATCTATTTGAAAAAATCTCAGTATTTGTAATTTACATGTATTTGTAATGTACATGTACAGCTATGGGAAATGAGTAATACATTAAAAGAATGAAGAAATTTGGTATTTTGAATTTCCTAATAATTTTTTTGTAGAATTACAGAATTAAAAAAGAAAAAACACATACACAAGAAAACCCAAAAGAACACTTCAAGGAGAGATAAGGACGACTTCAAAAGTAGAAGTCTGAAAGAGAGGGTATTACCAGCTTAATCTGATTCTCTAGGTCAAAGCATGCACATTTCTGCATAATGAAAAAGTTAGAAGTCATGGTTGTACCTATTTTCTAAACATTAGAGCTGATTTAATGTGGTAAATAATGTGATTGCTGATCCATTATCTTCTACAAGAATTCAAAAGCTGCATGACTGCTTTTGGGCTGGTTTACCTGATAAAATCAAGAAAACGCTGGTGGTGAGTGCAAGGCTTCTGGACTTGCATCAAATCAGGAGATGGTCACATGTAGCCAGTTGGAAACAACGTCTTAGAGATTTCTTTTTAATGACATCTGCTTTGCAATAAGACCACCACGTTTTTGCTTTTCAGTTTGAAATAGCTCCGTGGAAGCATTTTGATTTGCTGTTGTTTTTCCATTGTTTTTGTTTTCCTATCTAATCACAAGCAGTAACCCCGAAGTTACTTGAAATAGCAACTGTTCTCCCTGAACTGCAGTTTTATTTTCTTTTGGCTTTTATTTCAGCTGCGGGAGCCAGCTGCTTCAGAGAGTGTGGGAAGCTGACTTGGAGGCCTGTCAGCTGTTGATCCGAGGGTTTCAACTGAAAGAAACCAGTTGCTGTGGCTTTGAGGAAGCGGAGAACCAAATGGATGAGCTGGAGATGACTGCTAGTGGCCCTTCTAATTCTGAAAAGAGGGAAGAAGATCACTTTCCAAAGGGCACAGAGTGGAACAATGTTTCCTGTCCCGGGCACAGTAAGCTGAAACAGGTATCTGGAATGCCCTACAGCTGGATATGAGGCAATAGAGCTGTTTCTTATTTTGAGAGAAAAATTTAAATCTGGTCAGAAGGGCAGGTTAAGAATGATCTTAACATCTGTCCTCCAATATGAGATATGAATAAAATAGCTTATTATTTACTCAGAAGCCCTTCAACTCTTTTTCCTGGAACCATCAGTCTTTTCAAAATGTGGAAATTATTCAGGTAGTGAATACAGAGTATACATAAGGGTTCAAAGGAAAAACAATTTTCTTAAAGATTCTTTAAGTAGTTAACAGAAATTACCAGCTGCTCCTCATCATACCAATGAGTTTCACTGTGAGTTAATTCTGCTGACTTGTTAGCCCTCGGTTAGCTGAAGTGGGGAGTGGGTGAGTTTTCCTGCTCTAATGGAGAGGTCAAAGGCTTTGTAGCTCAGCTTCCAGTTGGCTTCCAGCACATAGCCAATATTAAAAGAAGGAAAAAATCATGGGGGTTAAAGGGCCTGAGAAATTTCTTAGAAGTTTTTGTGTTCTTCTCTGGAATGCCATCCTTACTTAAATATTTCTAACAACCTAAAATAAAATAAAATCACTGCACTGTCAAGGAAAAAAAAAAAAAAAAAAAAGCTGTTGAAAAGCTTTGTCACCCAATAATAGTAATGTGACAAAAAGGCACTCCAACAGGAGTTGTCAGTTTTACTACCTTGGAATTTGATTGACAAAAATTGAAAGTGTGCTTAATCGCATGTGCTGCTAGGTGCCATTGAACTGTGCAATACATTGAAAGCTGATATCACATTTTGCATTTATTCTGGCTGAGACTTAGCAGAAAGCAAGGTGTTACCTTACTGTAAAAATCTTCCATTTGAGTAAAATTCTATTTTTAAAGTGGGGTTCATCAGTACTTGCAGGCTAGGAAAGGTGGTCTGCAGGCTGAATCCACACAGAGGGCTTTTTTGTTGGAAATAGTATCTGTGGCTTTGATTTAGGTTTTTTTCTCTGTGATTTCTTTTTTTTTTTTTTTTTTTTTTTTTTTTCATATTATATCCCTGATGAGTAAGCTGAAGTAATTTGAGCAGCTTGGCTGGTTATGGGAAGTTGTGATTCCCTTTCAAAAGTGCAGCTGAGAAGCTCTGATGGGTTCAGTGTTGTGTTTTTTTCCTGTAGTGCTCTTGAAATTCGTGCAATAGGTGTCATTTCATCTGCAAGCCCAAGTCACTTCCATGAAAAGTGGGACTGCTGTCCCCTGGAATGACATAAAGGTAAATGAAGTGTGGTGACTTTTGGTTCTAGAGTGAGTCGCAGTAGTCAGAAGGCTGGGTTGTCGAAAGAAAGTCTTACTGGTGCCTGTTTTTATAAACAAGTGGAAGCATCTAATGGAAAAACATGTATTTGTCAATATACCCTATTTGATATTATCTACAAGGCTGTGCTGTCCTTGTGAGAGGAATAACTTGATGAGGTTACCTTCTTTCTAGAATGATCCATCCCTCCAACTGTCCTAATACCTAAAGGGAGGGTTGATCATTGAAGCAAAATGAGGAGTGGCATTCCTTATATTTAGAGCTTACTGAATAGCCAGTTTCAAAAGAGTACAGCAAGGGAGTAATAATGCAAATACAGATGCCTTGGAAGGTGCAGGTAATTAATTTACTTGATGGTGAAATGCTGTAGACAAAGTGTCCCAGTTCATGTTGTATCTGGCTAAATATAACAGAGAAGTGGATTTGTTTTTGTTGATGTGTATTATAAATACAATTTTGCATATAATTATGTCCTACTGTGTATGCAGAAAGGAAGAAACAAGAAGCAGAAGAATGAGAAAAACAGAATAGATGAATGGAAATGAAAATCAGATACTGCTTTGCAGGATGGCCATTTTTCATTTTTAAATGCAAATTATCGCTATATATAATTTGTCCTGGTATAAAATATGCAAGGTGTAAATTCTTTGAAAGTCCAGATATGTTACCATCAAATGCGAGCACAGTTTTATGAACTATCAGCAGTTACTTAGTCATCATAACTGTTTTCTAGGACAGCACTGATATTTTTTTCCCCAATTCATTTGTGCAGTAGATTATGGCACTGTAAGTAAGGCTTCCTTTGTAAAACTGACTGTTAACTGGTGAAGACTATCACGTGCTTTGGCAGCTCAGCTTACTGAAACATAATTACTCATTTGTTGGTCAAATTAAATAAAATAGGGCCAGAAAAGTTATCCTCACATAATCTGGTTTACTTAGAAATTAAGATGTACGCCTCTCAACCACAGATGCCTCAGACAAATACAATATTTTTTAAAATGATGAAGCAAAGTGATAGACAGTGGGCCTAGTTTCAGTCATGTTCAAAGTCAGCTTGCTGTCTAATGTAGTTAAAATAGATTCTCGAATTTTCATACCGGCATGTACTTTCTATACAGTGACTGACTTGCTGAAAATAAGGTGCTCTGCCAATGCAGTTCCAGTTGGTCTTCTGCGAACTAATTGGACTTGTTTTTTCTCCCAAGTCTCAGAGGAATTCAAGATGGATTCTAGTTTTCATTGCAGAAATATTCCAAGCTTTTAAACTGTATGCAAATTCCATTGCCCACATTGCATGTGAGCAAGGTTAAAGTTGCCGAGATAGTTAGAGTTGTAGTTAGATATAAATAAGTACAAGTGATTTCTAAAATATGTAGTAACGTTTCATTTCTCTTCAGACATTAATGCCTGTATATTCTACTCTTTAGGAAATCTTGCTTTATCCTTTGCTTGTTGGTAATGCATGTATATATAAAAAAAAGCATTTAATAACACTAGAAATATCAACAATAACTAATAAACAGAGATGAATGTGTGCTGGGACCTCCTTAACACCAAGTGTCTTGATGAATTTGAGTATGTGTGCACTGCAAGCTGGAGTTCCTGACCTATCCTTTTTTCTTTTGCTGCTGCTGTCTGGCATGCTGTGCAGTGTTCCCTCTTAATCACTATGAAGGAAAGAAACACCTACTAGATTTCAAGAAAATTGAGGTGATTAAAGTTACAAGGTAAAAAAAAAATAAAAATTCAGTAGTGTTAACTTTAGTAAGTCAGCATTTTTGGTAGCTTTTCTATCAGAATTCTTTGTGGATCATTTCTCTTTTTTCACTATAACTAAAGCAAGGAAAAAGGCTAAGAGTTAGAGCTGTTTCTCTTAACTCACATCTGCATTCTTCAGTTTTGCCACCTGGGAAGATGTTTCAGAACATTTTCTTGATCGCTGACTGGTGTTGGGAAAGGGTTCTTTCATTGCAAAACATTCATATCACTCACTGTTTTTACAATAAGTAAAAGTCATATTAAATGGACAATTGTGGGGGGAAAAAAAACGTAATGTTCAGGGTGATGTCTCTCGTTAAAAAGAAGTCATCACAGTGTATGACACATTTTTCAGAATTTATTAATAGCAACCAACAAGAAAGCTTTGGTCAGCAGGCTGCAGCCCACTAACACGAATTGAGATAGCCTGTGATCCAGGAGGCAATTGTGCCATGTGTAAAGGACAAAGCCTTTAGAAAGCTAAATAAACAGTGCTCTCATTTGAGTTTTAATTAAATGTTGTGTTTGTAGAGCTTTAAATGTAATTTGGAAACTTTAAATTTAATCATCTTTTTGAATGTCAGCATTAAGCATCAGTGAAAGTCAGTGTTTAACTGTTTTCTGCATTAATCCAGGGAAGGAGTTGCTGTTTAAAAAAAAAAAAAAAAAAAGTAGCTGGCTTGTATGCAATGGTCAGATCATTGCTGAACAGTCACACACATAGTTGTGCAATAAGATGCCACTTAGTTGTGAGCAATTCTGTCCTAGCTATTGAGCTATTGGCAAACACCACGCCAATTCTTTAGATACAGTTCACAGAATTGCACCGAACCAGAGAACTGCAGCAATTGGAAGAGACCTCAAGAGATCATAGAGTCCAACCCCATTGCTCAAGCAGGTACCCCACAATGGGTAGCACAGGTAGGTGACCAGGATATGGATCTTGAATATCTCCATAGAAGGAGACTCCATCACTTCTCTGGGCAACCTGTGCCAGTGCTCCCTCATTCTTACAATGAAGAAATTCTTCTATCTTGTTAGTATGGAACTTCCTATGTTCAAATTTTAGGCCATCACTCCCTGTCCTATCACTGCACACCACCAAGAAGAGCCAGGCCTCATCCATTTGCCTCCCCACCCCCCTTTAGACACTTATAAACATTAATCAGATCCCCTCCCAGTCTTCTTTTCCCCAGGCTGATCAGACCCAGGTTACCCAGCCTTTCTTCATAAGCGAGATGTTCCAGGCCCTTAATCATCTTTGTGGCCCTCTGATGGACTCCATCTAGGAGATCCCCATCTTTTTTTAAATTGGGGAGCCCAGAATTGGGCATAGTATTTTAAATATGGCCTCACCAGGGCAGAGTAGAAAGCAAGGATTATCTCCCTTGACCTTTCAGCCACATTCTTTTTAATGCACCCCAGGATATCATTGGCCTTCTTGGGAACTGTTACCTTGAGACACTGTTGTCTCAATGCCTGCAATGATTGCAAGTATGTTACAGTAAAATTACAATGAGAAAATGAATTCTACAGGTAAAATAAATTTAAACAATCTTTCTTCAGATAGACTTAGGAAATGTCCAATAATAACAATGATCTCATGCAGAGTAATGACTTTATGCTTTAATATAGAAATATATATATGCTTGTGATAATAAGTATTGACCTATCAAAGCAATATCCCTATCTCAGTTTATTTACATATTATCAATATTGTTGTGTATGGTAAGTATTAATGCTTTTCCAATAATATTAACTGAGTGGTTTTTTTTTTTGTTGCTCCTCAACCAATCAAGAAAATATTGGCTAATTACTTATAGAATTTACAGATTGATTAAGTTTTGAGAGAGGAACATAGTTACCACAGATTATTAATATGAACCATCTCTGGTGTTCTCTCACTTCTCTTGCCCAAAGTGACTTAGAAGATTTGTGCTAGAAAACTTCTGTAGACTTCTGAACGGTGTATGTAGATTGGTAAGAGTCTGGTAGATAAGTTTATCTCAGTTTTTCAGTTTTAGAGCCCATGTCCATGTTGGTTCTAACAGAGAAGCCAAAAGTCAGGCTTTAATAAAAAGTATTTAAATTTAACTTCAAATATTGGGTGGCTGCCACAGCTCCACTATAAACCTGACTGAAATATTTCATAGATGTGTAGTGAAATGATGTAATTGTTCACCTTATACAAGTTTATGTGCTATACCGTTTTTGTAAGTTCCATTGAAATCTTAATGTTTATACAACTTCTATCTACCATGTATTTAATAACTTATATCTAACAGGTTGTTGAAGACATTTCATTTGGAGCAGAGGGTCATTTATCTGAGGTAAGTGTTTTCTAGACAGCATAAAGTGGTGATATTATACAGACACTTCTTGGGCTGAATTAAAACTAATGATATCTATTTCTATAGTGTTACCTTTGGGTAAAAATGTGAGAGCAAAATCACTATGAAGTACTCAGACATTTAGAAAAATGGCATAGGCACTCATAGAGTAGTCCCATTCTTTTATTCTGTAAAAGATAATGGCAAAATTACTGTGTATTCTGGAGAGTTTATAGTTAAATTGCACTTTTCTAATGCTTTTTATACAAATGAATGACAGAATGGATATGCTGGGGGAATGTAGGATAGATTATATTTAGCCAGCTGTACTGTAGCACCATAATAATGCTTAAGAATGGAACAAAATCATGATATTTTACTTGGCTCCTTGTGTACCACTAAAAACACCTTTATAAATCCCTTTGAATTTATTTGAGAAGTATAAAAACATACAGCAGCAGAATATACGTCAATAGGAATTTCACCTGAATAAAAATACTGAATGTTTGTCATTTTACACTATTTTCATAAATAAAAAGGTGTCAGATCCTATTCAATATATTTCAGCAAATTCCAGAATAATTGAGTAGCATGAGATGTATTTCCTATGAGAGTAAGTGTTGAGAAAAATCTGCTTGTTACTGTCTACATGCAAACTAGAAGGTCAGGTAATACTTGCATAAGGAGATTCATACTGGTTTGTGGAGTTGTACTGTTTGAGTGTCCAATTTTGGATCAGTATGCCTTGGGTTGCAAGCCACATATTAAAGAAATTAACATCTATGCATTATGTCCAGCCAGCAAAGCAATGGCATGGGCAAATAATGCCCTATTCACCTTCCACAATAGTGCACATCCCACGTGACAAGTATGAGTTATAAGCATTAGCCCAGCAAATTTATAAAAAATAAAATAAAATGAAAATTTGCAGTTCAGGATATCTACTTCCATGATGACTTTCTTTGGATTCCCATCAAAGATTTCAATGGCTGTAGAGCAGCTGAAATGCTCCAGGAAAGAAAATCTACTCTAAAACTCAAGACTGATCAGTGATCATGTATACAAGGGGACTGCTGCATGAGAACATGCCTAAGACCCCCTGCTTAGCTATATGTGAATTCAGCATAAATAAAAATGGGAATCCTTGAGTGTGAAGGTGAACTTTGCAAAAAATGGTCACCAGAAAATGCAAATAGACTGTCTCAACCGTGAATTTTGCTGGGAGTTATAGCAAAACCGTTCAGGTACACAGTGGATGACATGAAGTAGAAGAAGTGATCCCACAGAATAATGGTAGCAAAAAGCTCTACTGCTGGAAAGGCAAAATGAGAGAATGTGGGTAGTGATAGATGCCAAGAGAGCAAAAGATTTTCTGGAAATTGCATTTGATTCAGACCAATATAGATGAGAGGTCTGCAGAAAGCTTGTGTGCAGCAGTGACCTGCACTGAAAACCCAGACCTTGACTGAAGAAGTTGTCCTTTTACTCAGCAGCAAATAAGCCTGGAACATGAAAGTATTGTGCATGCTGGGCTTATGAATACACCAGAGAGCCCAGGCATGGAGGGTTAATGCTGTGGAAGCCTTTAGTAAGAAATTACGGTCTTTATAGTCCTCAGAGACAAAACAACTTTCAAAGTGTTGAGGGAAAAATTGCATAAAGAAAATTGAGAGCAACAATATAAAAAAAAGGAAATGGAAATGAGTTAGAAGTCCAGGCTCTCACTCACACTGCCACAGCTGGATTGATGTTGACTTATAGACAGCTCTATAAAGAATCTGTGAAACTGTCAGCACTCTGTACCATGTCAAGGCTTTGCCCAAATGTTCCTTTGACAGTCTGGTCCCTAAATCTTTGTCAGTCTCCCCATTGCCTGCAGGAGGTCACTCTGTTAGTCATTCCAGATTGTTGCATCTAAGTGACTTGGGAGCAGAGATGAGAATGAACAATACTACAAGCCACCTATAAATGGTACTCAGCTATGGTGACTCCTATCACAGCAGGATGTGGATGTTAGAAAACAGTTTGGTGCTTTTGTTTCTTTTCCAAGTCCTGGCCCACTGTGAGTTTTTATTTGTGAGTCCATAAATAGCCTTATTTTCCCACAAGTGGAACTGGAATTGTCACAGTTTAATTAGACGAGCCAGTAAAGTATTTTGCATGGTTTGGGAAGTCTGCACTCAGGGAAGACCTGGAGTCTACTAAGAGGAGAATGAAAAGACTGCTGTCACACAGACTGTTTCCACTGCTGAAAGGCAATGGAAAGCTCTATGTCTGCATACCTACTTTTCCAAGGATGTTCCTCCTTGGCTATAGTGGAAGAGACAAGAAGGGAAGAATTGCCAACATCAAGCTGTACTTTTGATGAGTCATTTAACATTCTCTTGTGTTGTCATATCCCTGCAGAGGAGGGATCAGTGCAAGCAAAGGGAATGTGGGAAAAGTGTGTGATTGTGGAGAAGAGATTGTTCATAGTTAGAAAACAGCTGTCTGGAAAGCTTTATGTCTGATTTATGCATATGAGAAACTAGAGCATGTTGTAGTGCTGAATTCTCCCAAATATGCACAAGTAGGCTGATGGAACAAGCCAGCAATCTGTAAGTAGAAGGTGATAAGGGCAGAAGTAATTGGGAAAAAGACTTGAACTTAGTTCTGAGAGCTATCTCCATTAAAAATAAAATAACAAGTCATTTGAAGAAAATTGAGGGAACAATAGGTAGAAGGAAGCAGCTGATGAGTTTTGCTACTCTTCAGATGATGTCGTATTTCCAGTAAAGTGTCATATCCTTTTGGTGCAGAAGAGAGCACACAGTTACAGACTGTGTCTGTGCCAGAGCTTCTTTAGTGGCCCAAAAGAATTTTGAGAAGGAAATAATGTTACTAACAATGAGCCTAAAAGAATAATGCACAGTGTAAAAGTGAACCAGGAAGACCACAGTGCACATTAAATAGTAAGCAAAAGATGCAAACTGGCAGGAGACTTCAGTGGTGAGGGACACATTAGGGATAGCTGGAAGAAAGCATCGTATGTCTTCTAATAAGGGTTAATGAGAGAATAATAAAAAGAGAACAAAGTGCAGATTATTTTTGTTTATTTATTTTTTTACTTTTGTTTTTTTTCTAGAAGTAATAAATTGTGTCCATACGTATGGAATGCTCTTAGTATTTACCTGAAGCTAGCAAGAGAAGATCATGGTAAAGGGTCTGAAGGTAAATGAGATGCACTCAAGTCAGGCTAGACTGATGAAATTCTTTCTAGAATTCATAGGGATCAAGAAAAACAATCTCCAAACCATTAACAAGGCTCTCTGGGAACTCCAAATGAAGGCTGAAGTCCCAGGAGATCAGTAAAAAGCAGAGCTGGTATTTGCTTTTAAAAAGGAGATAGACTAGGACTCTGTGCACCAGTCAACATAACTTCAATTAGGATTGGAATTCCAAATGTTCTTGATAAATTGAAAGAGTAGCCTGAAATCAATACGACTGGATATATTAAAAGACAGGTGCAAATTACAGTTGGAGAAGAAAAAAGTTATGTTTATGTATACAGATGGCAAATAACAGCTAAGATGGCAATATTGCAGAGCTGGAAAGGAGGGTTATAATGGACTACAAATAGAGTGGGATTCATTACCATGATCCTGTTGCAACAAAAAGCAAAAGTCATTTGCAGCCTCATTAACGGGAATGTCAGTTGTAAGAAATAATTACTGTGCTTAGTTGAGAATGTCAGAGCCTCCACATGAATACGACATCGGTCTGCGCACCTCTCTGTGTGGAAGATAGGGCATGCTGGAGAAAGGAAGAAAACCTATAGGAATAAAATGTTCATTAACTAGCCATTCATGCCATGATGCTTGGATGACTGTGGTTAAGAGGAAGAGGCGTTATTTTCTGAGTCTGAGATTAGGCCTGTTATCTGTGTCTGCTTTGTCTTCCTCATCTACAACACCAGCCCCTAACAATGCACTCAGTAGGAATTCTGGGAGCAGGGCAGAGGCAAAGGCTTCTTTTAGCTGTGCTTTAGACACTATGGCTATGTAGCTCACTAACTGAGGGCGTACACACACAGCCTGCATGTGACACAAACATCTGCTCAAGCAAGACAAGCATATGGATGTTTGCATTTTATTCTTAGAAATGATTTAAGAAGTGCCCTGGCCTGACTTTCTGGAGTTTCAAGTGCTCACAATTTCCATTAACTTTGGTGAGGGGTGAGGGCAAGCATGCAGCACTTCTGCAAACAATAAGTCACTGTTCTAAGCCCTGTGCCATAACAAGAAGTATCTGTTTCCAAGGGCGGCATTTTGTAGTTATTTATGTTGCTTTAAATGATTTTACCTTTTATGGGAGTGAGAGGATTTAGTAGTGAGAAGATTTTTTTTGGTAGAGAGAGCAATTTTTGGTGAAAAAAGTCTATGATGTTCTGCAGGTCTTCTAAGGCTTTTATTTTCCAATTTCACGGGGGTCATGATACTGCTAGGTTGAAGAAAAGCAACTTCTTTTTACCACGTTCCTGTGAAGGAAGAACAGATTTTCAGGATGTATCTGGAATCCTTCTTCTCAGTGCAGCAACCATACTAATACACACTCTAATTCCTAGCGGAATTAGATTTATCTAGCTGCTGGAACACTGATTCTTCTGTACAAAGTTGCTGAACTGAATTCAAGAGAGCATAGAAGGTATTTGCACTGGAAAAGTTGATCAAACATTTAACTTGAGTAATGCTGTTGAGGAGCTGTTGCTCATAGGTGACTAAAATGGCTGTTGAAAAGATAAAACAAAATGCAGAAGACTGAAGTGAAGCCATTTCCTCTGCTCTTAATTCAGTGCACTAATTCTGTGCAACAGCTGGAACATTGTCTGCTTTTTATGTTTCTCACATCCCTGGGACAGAGAGAGGATTTCCAATTCCCACTTTGCGTGAGAAGGCAGAGGAATTCTTCAGTTATTAAAAAAAACAAAACAAACAAATTAACAAATCGCATCCTAATTTGTATCATTTCTACCTGCTTCGGGATTCTGAAGACAATCCCAACCTCCTCCATGATCAGTTCACAGAAAAATCCATAAAGCAATATTGCATCTCAGCTCTTTCCTGGCTGCTTCAATCTCTCTCCTAGCTGCTTCTTAAAATTGCTGTTAGGGCAGAAATAACTAAAGTCTTAAGACTTCCAGTAGCTCGTGGCACTGACATCACTTACAAGCTTGAATGAATTGTATCTTATTTATATGTCAAGCTGGAGGCAGAGTCCACTTCCCTCTCAAAGTGCTGTTGATCAGTGTACAGTTCCACTTTCCAATCAGGAGATGTTGTGAGTAGTGTGTGTGTGTCAGTGCCAGCAGTTTCCCAACTTACATGGACAAACATCAAACAAAAATGCCACTAGTGATATTAGTAGGCATAGAAGGCACTGAAAGGAACCTTTCCTACTTCTCTGGGTTATTGGGCTTTTTTCATATGAGGATCTGGGGGTGAGAGCTGTTGAATTAACTGAATCTTTAGAATTTTTCCTGTTTGTTTTTTGAGAGCAATGTGTTTTTGCCATCTCATGTAGAGCTCTTGGTATTAAACTAAAATTAGAGTTATCTGTACCAGTACACCCTAATAAAAAACGATTATATATAAATATAGGCCAAAATAAAATAGGCCACTCGCATATACTGTAAAATCACAATCTGTGGGATAGCCCTCCTGTGAGTTTCGCATGATGTCTGTGAATATTTTCTTAGGAAACAATGCTTTTTGTAAACTATGGAGGAACTTCTCTTTTCAGCTGAAAAGGCAGCTCTGTGCCTTAAAGGTACAGAAATAGTTTATCTGCACATAGTTATTGCTATATTGAAGCTGTAGAGTTCACATCAGAAGTTTAGCATTAATGGAATGTAACACCTAAATTATGGAGTTATTGTAGTTATACCACAGAAAAGACATAGCCATACAGTTGTGATTAAATAGGCTGCAAGTGTTTGGTGATTAAACAAGTTTAATTATTTTTTTTTACCTAGTAACTTCCTGCCTCTCTGTATTGTTTGAACAATTCTGCATTGAGCACTTAGTTTTTCCTAGTACTCATTTTGTCATTTATCTTAGTTTCTAAAGTAAACAGGATTTCAGTTGCATTTTTAGACAATTCAATATGTAATTGAAATGTGCTGTAGCTTTACTATGTTTTTTACATTTGAGATATTTTACTTTAAGTGGGAATGCAAGTATTTAGCTGACAAACAAATTAATGCCTATAGTTGTAACAATTACAGAATGTTATTTCTGAGTATGTTTAATGTGAGAACAATGCAGAACCCCAAAACACAAATTTGTATTTACACAAAGCTTCATGGCTTTGCTGCAGAATGAACATTAACCCTAATTCCTTTGGGCCTGAGGGCTTGTTCAGGGCTTCCTTCCATCACTCCTGAGACTCTTCTTTACCTGACCATGAAGTTTTATTTAAAAATGAAAAGAAAATATTTAACATAGATCAGAATAGATAGCCACACACTAGTAAATGTAGTCATCCTTTTGCATTGCTGCTGTGAATTTCAAGTTATAGTTATATTTTATCTCAAATTTTCAGGATTTGAGGACCTCAGAACTAGGCCATACTTGCAACTTGGAGACTCTTTTTTAACCATGTATCTAAATGCTTCTCGTCAATCTCTCTTATCTCATCTGATGGTGTAGGTCAGCGAGGGTGTAGGTCTAAAAGGCCCATTTTACCCTCTTTGTCCACTGGCATGCAGATTAGGAATGTATTTTCCACTGTGGATGTTCACAACAGGGCTAGACAAATGCAGCAGTGTGCTTATCATTTAGATTAGATGCTCAGTGTGACTCCTTGTGCTTCTGTTTACTAGACAGGAAACATGAGGACCATTTTAAACTGGAGGAAATACGTAGATCTTCTCTTAGAGCAAAGTTGTGGCAGTACTAATTCATTGAATGATTATTTGGACAAACTGTCCCACTGTCAACAGTATTGCCTTGCTAAAAGCAGTAAATGGATCAGACAAAAGTATATAATACATTGATGTTGCATGAGCTGTACTCTGCTTTTTATGTGATGCTGTAAAATACTATTTCCTCAGCATCTGTACAGGAATACTTTCTGCCTAAGTACACAATCTGTAGAAAGAATCTGATCTGAATTCATTTATGGATTTTGTCTGTCAGAGCAACCCTTAGGAGTCTATGCATTAATTAAAAGCGATTGTTCCTAAATTAACTCTTCAATGATGATGTAACGCTGCATATTTTTTGTCTTGTTTTCTTGCGTGTTTGTGATGAGAGTTGTGTGAAGATCTGATTTTCTTACGAGTAACTGCTAAAGAAAAATCTCTGCTCAGAATGTGGAGGTTTGTCTAGAATGGTCATCATTTTAGTTGTGTTTTCAGAGTAGTTTTACTTACAATTTACTGAATCTTTTACAGTTTTGCTACAATTTACTCAACTTTTTCTTTCTAGCATGAGGCCTAGGTCCTTTTAGACAACTGACATCTGTTCTTGTATGCGTGTCATAGAATGATCCTTGAAAGCTTTCTGTTGATATAAATTGCCTGGGTTATCCCACTTCCTAAAAACATATGGAGTCCTGCTGGTGTATCAACTAACAAGTTAGCAGCTGGATGGAAGACTGTTCTTCATCTTCTGTCCCCAGCCCAGAAACAAGGACATTTCTAGTTGATGCAGGAAGAACATATATCTTTTCCTCCCCTGTTCTTACTTTAAAAACAATGGGGCAATTTTACTTCCATAGATTCTGTTGAATGATGTCATACATTCTGGTATCTGATAATGACTCTGAAGACGGCTGCCAAGGTTCTGTGCACCAACCAGAGATTCAAACAGCTGATTCTCACGTGTATCCCAATGTCTAAGCTGTAGGCATTTGCAGCATAACCTCTTCCCGACTCACTTGTCCAGGCTCTGAGCTGAAGCTTATTGTATCCCTGTGCAATCTGCTCAATATCTGTGTCTGGCAGCAAGCATAGAAAGGCAGAAAGGTCAGAGCTCTGTGCTGTAGCAGAGGATGTAACAGACGATGTACCAGCAAGCAGAGCTCTTCTGACATTTGACTCTATGTGCGCAATGCATGACACAAACTGTAAGGGCAGCATGAAATCAAGGAGCGGTAAATGTGTTTACCAAAAATCAGAGTGCTTCACAATGGGCAATGTTCCTCCAATTCCTAGAATGATTTCATTGACTGAAGGTTTGATTTCTCTCACATAGCCAAAGATGCCTGCTATTACATCAGCAGGTCAGTGCAAAAGGACTATGAATACTTTTCCAAAGGAACAAAAGTTTTCTGACGTTTGTAGATGGCAACATGTGTGGCTGGCTTTATACATGAATACATACATATCTAGGGAAAATATAGTTATCTGGACTCCAGTTGATGAATGATCCATTTTTTTTTTTCAGCATGGTTCCAGGAGAAGTTCATCTTGACACCATAGTCTTTTCCCCCTTTTTCCTCAGGGTTGGGGGCAGGCAGAGACTAGTCTCAGTGATGTACAAATTATTCGATTTTTTTCCACTCAAATATGACACCTGAGTCATTTCTCACAGAGGAAGTGAATACAAAATATGGAAGATATAAATTATCTTTGCTCAGTGCATCCAAAAGCAAGCAAATCTGTATGAACTGCCTTTCTAATGGGTTCAGAATATTCAATTTAAAATAGAAGAAGCAGTTGTATATATAAAGTTGAAAGTGGGCAACCATTATTTTCGAGAATTTGTACTTGTTATACGTAGTAACATAGTGTAGTTTCATCTTGTATTTCCTAAGAATTTAATGTGTTTTCTCTGATTGGTTGAGCAATGTTCCTAAGTATTCTAGCCAAATTTTTCTTCAGGCAGCAAGTATATTTTTGTTGTTATATGAGATGCCAAAAGTGACGCTTCATGAAATGCTGAAATGGCCTCAATGTGTAAATCATATTTAGAAAAACAACCTAAAATTTAGGAACCTAAATGGTGTAGTCAGCATGAGCTTTCCCTCCCCTGCTGTGGTGAGACAACATGGAGGAGAGAGAGCAGTTCAGACTTCACACTCCTTTAATCCTGTGCGGAAAGTGAGATCACGGCTTCTTTCTGATGGGAAATAGACTGAGATGACAAGCTGATTTCAATCCATATAAATCAACTAATTACTGTATAGTAATAACTTTTTATCTCTTTAACTTGGATTAGGTTTCAAACAATATCTTAGCTCTTCAAAACATCATATCCCCCCACTAATATTTTATTTTCACCCTTAGTTTGATGCAAATATTAGATAGAAAAGTACAATTGGCAATAAACATGATTTCTTTTTCCACTATCTCTAGGAGTTCTTCATATTTTCTGCAGAGCTGGGGGAGAAATGTGAAGCAATAAGTGAGAAACTAGTGCATCTGGAAGACCAACTGCAATCTTCAGTCTGCAGAGTTGATGAAGGTATAATTCATATCCTTTTTGATATACCTATAGATAGTATCGACCTACGTAAGTACGTATGATGCAAAATACTTTCAGATTCAAATGGGGTAGTAGTTTTTAATGCAGATTAGTATTATACTAAGACAGCTATAACTGATTGTTTTGCTGAAGTGAAATTTCTTGTTGTAACAAGTCATCCTACAGTGCATTCTCACCATGGTCTGATCTACATTTAATTGATTTAAACTGAAATTATTTCTTCGTTAATTGAGATTAGGCATTGAAATGCTTTTACATTTTCAAAGGATTGCTACAGTCCTTTCATTGGTACTGCCCACATAAGTGAACAACTACCAAAAACTGCATGAATACAAGCATCCACATGCATACCTTTGTTGGCATGATTTAGTTAAATTCTACGTCGTTGACTCAGGCTGTGTATACGGTCAGGTGTAACTTGGCTTTTCTTTCTCTTTTGAAAAAACTTGCCAGCACAGGCATCATACGGTATCCTATGCAATCTAATCTGCCTCTGACACTCCAGTGCAAGTAGCTGGATGAGATATATTATAAAACACTCTTATCATTTTCTGTGCTTCATCTGTTTGAAGACTGCTTAACCTTTACAGGGGCATTTGTTAGGCCTTCATCTGTGGAAATTTTTCAAAATTTAATGGCATAGAATATTTCTCTCATTTACGACTTCCATAAAAACTTACCACAAATGAGATTTTGTTCTTCTAAGACAGGAAAAAGAGAATAAGAACCAAGAGATCAAAGAAGATTAGAATACTCAGTTACTTTTTACTGGAAAAGAGGTGGTAGACGAGTGGATAAGGAAGAAGGATGAGTGCATTCATATGATGAACACAGTTGCCCTTATAGAAACCTGAAGGTGAGCTCAGGTAATGATGGTGCTAAAAAGTACTCCGTTCCTGCCAAGGTGAAGTGAGCAGTCATGCAGGAAAAAGTGCAGCGCAAAACTAGAAAAGAGAATCAGTAGAACTTGTGAAAATACTAACTTGTTTTCGGTAACTGAGCATCTATTTCTAGCTCTGGCTAAGTATGGAGAGGAGAAATCCAGTTACTAATTTGTCAACCACTTTAAACCTTTCTTTTCAAAGCATCTTAATGTATCAAAATACTTCTTATTGTACTTATCACAAGGATAGCTTCAATATTCTGTCAATCATATTTGCAGCATATATGCTCTGTTGCAGCTTTTCCCCTCCAACATTTCTTATAAGCATTCTTTTCAGAGAAACCCATGTTTATCTATCTTGTGTATATGCACGGCATCTACTTCCTTCCCTCCATCCCTTACATATGTTTCCTCGCAAATGAACGTCATTCTTTAACTCCAGTAGAACACTGAGGTTTACATTGATAGGTTTTTTTCTACTGAAGTTTATATTCAGACCTGTTTACTAAGATAGGTCTGATCATAGTTAGTTTGCTATGGAGAGTGCATTAACTCAAAAAAAAAACCCTGCATTTTTTATTTGTGATGAAGATACTCTGCAATTACATAACGTAGTACTTAGCTGTATTTTCTATGGACCCTGTACATTTCTTTGTAGCTGCTGAAACTGCAAAAGTAAGCTGAGAAGATTAAACCTAATCATTGGAAGTTGAGAAGAGTTGTAGATTAAACTCATTCTTAGCCAAAACTGTCTGATACAGATCTGGTGTCCTGTATTGGTGAAATTCAGCTCACATTATCTAAATAAAGAAATGTACAACCTGTGATATCTTGGTTCTCCTAGTAAGAACATAAGCTACAAAATATGAAATTATGTTTCAAACACAGGGACATACAGACAAGCAGTTCAGCAATTCAGCTACCGCTCATTAACATTCAGTTATTATTTCAGAAGTAGTCCAGACCAACATGCATAAAATGTTACCATCTGGCACATGTAATCACTGTGCTGTACTTCAAAAAGGAATGAGAATAGCTACCACAACACTACAGACCTATAGACTGGACTTTTTTTAGGTTTTTTTTTTGGTTTTTTGTTTGTTTTTTAATAAAAACTGCCCAGAGTCTGTAAAATAAACATTTACTCATTAGTAACTCTCCTATGTTGCAGGAACCAGCACTGAGACTGGTGTCAGTCATTAGTATCAATAGATTGCCCTTCTCATCCCTCTAAAAACTATCTTACATATACCTATTACAAACTGCAATAGGTAAAAAATCTAAGGGACTACAAGAATGTAGATTGGTTCTGTTGTCTTCTAAACACTTCTAAAGACCCCACTGAGAAAAATAAATGCTCTTGAGCCATTTGCCAATGTTATTGTGTGTTATAGCTTTGATTAATAATTAAGTTTGTATTAGAAGAAAAATCCCAGATGTCACTGTTTTTCATTCTGCATTTTGATGGCATGAAACACTTAATTCAATAATGCTGCTAGTTGTAATTGCTAGCACAACCTGCACAAAAGAGAAATCTAGTGGAATTTCTTGGTCGTAAGTATTTGCACAAACCCACTCAGAATTCTCAGTTTATATTGAAGCTTTTCATGGTAAATATTAATCTGTACTTTTGTACAGCATAAAAAGCATCAAACAATGAAGGGGAAGGAGGAGAAGAGTTCATCTCTAGCACTATGATATATTTGCTAAATTCAGTGTAGTATAGACAAATAAATCCGCAAAACATTCAATTACAGTTAATCATTGGAAAGTGTAAGAAAACAGTCCACATCATTAATTAGAAAAACCAAAGGAGGAGAGGTGACTCATTCTGGTGTCTGCAGAGCTGATGAGAGGTGTTACTTTCCTGACAGTAAAGGCCTGGAATTCCCAGTAAAATTAAATGGAGCCTATATTGCAATTTCACAGTCATTTTTGTTCTTAATTAGCAGTTGCATTTTGACAGACAACTTGAATGCATGTAATAGATCTTCCCAGTGAAAAAGCTTTTGTTGGAAGAAGAGCTGGCTGGACTATTATTTAAAAGCCACATAAAATCTCCATATCTCAACATAAATGAATGTTTTAAACAGTTTTTCTGAAAATAGAGTGTTGTGCCTAAACGTCCATTAGGCACTAGAAATTACCTTGCCAGTCTTTCACTGTTATGTGACAGACTCTTGTGTATAACTTGCTTTACACCAGTATAGATTTTGCACGGAATCAGTGATACAGAATTCAGTCCTTGACTGTACTTCACTGAACAATCTCATCGAGTGAATCTGTAAGTAATGTTAGGATCCCACAAGAGTGAGGATTGCCAATGGTATGCTCTTAGATTTTTATTTTGAATGACAGGAGAAATGGTCCGTTGTGGTGTGCCACACTGAGAGAACGTGGTTACACCTTCCTTGTTCATGCTGTGACAGAGGTAGGTCAGTGCTTTTCCACCCATGCACTTGGTTGTCTTCTGTATCTCACTAGAGCAAGTGTTTCAAAGGCAGCTGTTATACAGATCACTGGAAAGGCAAAGTTTTTAAAAATGTTTTGGTGATTCTGGTTTTTGTTGTTGCTGCTAAGCAGGAGTGTTGAGTTATTTTGTAGAACTATGTCTTACAGCTGTGAAAGAGGGAGACATGAATAGAAAAGGGAAGTGGAATATTCTTGATGTGGATTCACTACCGTTGTAGTGTGAGGTGCTCTCTTCAGCCACTGCAGCACTCAGCTACTAAAAACAAGAAAAATACGTAAATAAAAACTGTTTCTGATTTTTTTCTGCTCTTAATTTGCTTTCCAGATGTCCAAAATTGCTGTTATTCTCTAAAATCCCATAAGATTAACTTCTTTTATCTCAGCCCTAGGACAGCCAACTACTCAGCTGTCTTTCCAAGGTCTTTTGTCTTACAATATACTCAGTTTCTAATATTTCCTATAGGATGACAATTGTTTTGTAATATCTACTTTTGGTCTCTTTTCTCTAAACATCTGTGCTAGGAGACAGAAGATATGCTGATGAACCAGTGGCCCCTTTTCATTTTTTTCACTAAAAATTAAGCAACTCTACAATCATTAGACAGACAATCATTAGACAGATCTGCTTTTATCTTCTTGACAATCCTAGATTCTGCTATGATGTGAGTTCAAATATCCTTCTTCAGGAGGATCTTGACAGATCTTTCACAAGACTTTTTTCAAAGAGAAAGTCAAATGGGCAAAAAGCTTCAAGACTACATTAGAGTAGCATTGTTACTGCTGATAATGGATTGGATTTGTATGATACTGTTTCCAAGTACTTTAGCTTACTACTTGTACTACATTGGAGATATTTTGCCAGTTTTTCACTGGAAGGTAACAGAACCAGAACATATTCCTTGCTGAAACTTGTTCAGGGCTACTGCCTTTGATACTGGCTCAACATCTGCAACACTGGATAGAGAATTTAAGCATGAGGGGGGCATTTACATATGGACCCATGCAAATGCATGTGTTTGTTTTTTGGTGGGGGGGGTTGTTTGGTTTGTTTTTTTTCATTTTTAAAATGAGCAAAGCTGATGATTCAGACATAACCTCTGTAACATGGATAGAAATTCCATGCTTAGCCTTATGTCATGTATTTTTCCTAGCCATAAGGACTTGCTTGATAGTTACGGATCTACATCTGACTGTGGAGCTATGAGTAACACCACACTGTTATTGAAACACAAAGAGTTTATTGAATCTTGCTGTAGGTAAGACTAAGCAGTCATTGCTCTCATTGCCCCCATCTTTCTATTGGTTAAGAGTTTATTTTCCCACCTATTTTTTTTCATCCTCCAGTTTTTCAAATGTTTCAATTTTTCTTTATACCTGAAAAGAATTTTGTAATTGCTTGGGATATTACAAATAACAGCATGTAGTCAGAGGCTGCACATCAGAAGTAATTAAATTTCAGAGGCTTCATGGTTTTCATATGTTGAAGAATTTTCAGCAGAGCCTCTTGATTGAATTGCAGAATGGTAGACAGTCCAGGATCACTTATAAGAGAATAACGATGTTTCTTTCTTCAGAGAAGCTGTGAGGCATAATTGATTTGTCCTTGTATGGTGTTTTGAGATCCTAGGATAAGAAGTTACTGGGTGCTGCTGTGACTGCCTGTGAGTAGTCAGAGACAGAATCTACTCAGCTTATTAGAGCTGTCCAGAAATTAGAAATATGTATGATTACTCCTGGTGAATGAATTAAATCATCATACTAAATACGTACAACCACACAGAGATGAAATTTTGAGGAAATGAAACAGAACCAAAAGCAGCCAAAAGGGTTTTCAGAGGCCTGTAACTACCTGAAGTAGCGGTATTTTTGAATGGCTTTCCTGTGGTTTGGTGTAGTCACAGTTTTTCAAAGGCAGAAACTCACGTTTTATGATTGCATAACCTGAGGCCATCTTTCTTTTGTTGACATTGTGTTGACATCATGTTTGGGTAAAACAACATTTCATAATGGATGGTCTCCATAAAGGATAAAGCCTGTCCTTGTGCATTATTCTTCCTCTGCATTGTGTTTTTAAAGTGAGTTGTTTTGGTGTCAACCTGTTTCATTCCTCATGAAAAAGTGTATTTTTGATTCTCTTGTAAATCCTGCAATTGGTGAATTAGTTCTAGAGCTGAGCTTATTTATTTTTTTCCCTTGAGCCTTTTACATTTGCAGTTTGGGGTCCTTGCCCTGTAATTGTATCTGTACATCAGGGAACACTGGCTTCAGTATGGTTGAAGATGGCCTTAGCTTTCATTCACAGAAATGTGGTTGTTGGTTTGTTTGTCCAGCTTCAAAATCCACCCTGTAACCAGCAGGAAACCAACAGTTTGTATGGTTGCCTTTTCAATATAGCATCGTCTCCCTCCTTCCCCTGAGAAGGGTATCCAAGCAGTATCTTCCCTTCCCTCCCCATTTTATAACTGCTAAATAATGCTACTTGAGAACTTTGCCTGTTTTTTTTGTTTGTTTGTTTTTGTTTTTGGTTTTTTTTTTTGTTTTTTTTTTTAAGCGAGATAAATGTATTAATATTTAATCTAAATAATTTGGAAGAACTTGAAGCTACAATTAGATAGCCATGGCCATCTGCTCTGAGCAGAGCAACCATTTATTAAATAACTTGGAAAGAGAAAAGGAGCTGCCAATCACCTATAGAATTATTCCTTAATAAAGCTTGCACAGTCTCTGCAGAGGGAGATCCAGGTGGTGAAGGAGACGCTCCAGACCGTGCTGCTGCAACTTCAGCCAGCCAGGGAGGCAGGGGACGAAAAAGCTGGAGACTTCCTCTGTGACAGCTGGTGTCCAGGAAAGCAGGACTCAAAGGAATAATGAGCAGAAAGAGCTGGTAGGATGACGTTAATACACAAAGGGCTGCTTTTAGTAACTGAATACTCTTTTACCAAGCCTCAGGGATCTCTTCCCTCCCTGCATAACTAATAACTAAATCAATTATGGAGAAACAGAGCCTGGAGGTCTATCATCAGAAGTATTCTACACAGCCTCGCATGTTTTGGCACAGATTGGGAAACAGCTTTCAGAGCAGAACATCCCTTGTAAATGTGTAGATTACAAATTGATACATTTCAAGTGAGTCTGCAAAGTTGCCTTTAATGTCAGTGAAATGTTCTCCTTGAAGACTTGTAAACAGTATCTGTCTTCCTCACTCACGGATTTTTTCCCATTTGAAAAATGTAGTGTTAAAGCTGGAACATCTAGTATTTCTCAAAAAAAAAAAAAATAGCTGTAAGTAAAAAAAAATTTTCTGGGTTTTTTTGTTTGGTTTATTTTTGTTTTTTTTCCTCCCCCCCCCCCCCCCTTTGGCTTTAGCAGCTTTCTTACACTGAATGTATTTACACATTCCTACCAATAATTAAATCAACGGGATGAAATTCAAGCTAACAGAGTTCTTTTAAGAGAAATTTGAAGCTCATTTACTCAATGGTATTGAGTACAGGAAAGGTAACTAACAGCAGCCCCTACAGCAGTAGTTCAACTGTTTTCATTAGGTATTAATATAAAGTTGTTTTAGTATTACAGGGATTGTAAAACACACACAGAATACTTTGTTGGTGATTTGTGCTCCTTTTATTTAAGTATGGTATGACCAATATGTCATTTAAGTTGCCTTGTAAAGTTTACTATTACTGTTGTATTGCTTTGATCTTCCTTCTTATAAACTCCAGAAGGAACGCAGATTTTTTTTATTTTTTTTTTTTTTTTTTTTTACTCCTGTCAGGCACATATATATACTTAAACATGTATTTTTAATAGGAAAGAGAAGCAATGTTCCACTGAAGCCAGCTAACACAAGAGACCTATATTTAGATCACTGCTCAAAACAGTTAAATCTTTGAAGGAATTCAGATTGAACACTTGGATACCCAAATGTATCTGATATTATCTGACATCACAAAGTTCTACTTCTGCCATCTACTGCAGAGGGAGAACTTACAAACAAATTATCACTGGCCTCCTTTTTTAAGCCACTAGAACAAACGAGTGTCTTGCAATTCATTACTGTACTTTCTGATACTGTTAGTATGACATTTTAAAGACTACTTTGTTTCTGCTTCTTCAGTTACACATTTTGTAGCCACATTGGGAAAGTTTTTGCCGGTTTTGAAGGTCCTTGAACTACTGGCCCACTACAACTGTGTTCATTTTCTTTTGTGTGTTTTAATACTGGTTGAAACTTCTACCTCAGTGTTAAGGACATAGGGAAGAAAAAAAGTGCTAGGCAGCTGCCACGTACAACCGGATTATGATTGCATACAGGGGCACAGCTCAGGTGTTTCCTGGAATCGTTGGATCCTCAGGATAGAATTACAGCCCTGTAATTCAGAACATGGTCAACTTTTTCATTGTATAATACATGGATCAGCATCTGTAGTGTGGTAAAGATGCTTGGACCTTTACCTTACATGGACTCCAGTACTGCTCCCACCTCTAGTCTCAGACAGAAGTCTCTGATGCTCTGCTACTGCTCTTACAGGTCTGTTTCTCCCTGGCAGCTTTCTGCCTCTCCTCAGTATATTTAGCACTTTCTGGAACCAACAAGCACATGGCAGCTTGTGTTTCACCAACATTCAGCTCATGAAAAGCCATGGGGAACCCTGCCTGGGCACAGGGGACACAATTGTTAGACAGAAGATGCTCATGGAAACACACCTGAACATAGGTTTAAAAATATATATATATATATATATATGTAAATCTCTCCTACTATGATATTAAGGCTGCTTATGGGTTAATACCATAAACTTCCAGTAGTGAGCAGTTACAGGGCTATAAGCTCACTGCAATGATAGCCCAGATATGCAGTGAACTAAGACTGCACTGCTCCTCTCTCCCTCATGCTGAGGATTTTGTGGAGCTTTGTCCTTTACAATCCTGAGTGTCTGAAAGCCAAGATCAGCCACAGCCCACAGCTGAGGTGAGAGACTTTCCTCATGGCAGCAGCAGCAGCAACAAGGACTATAACCCTCACAGGGACAGGACAACTGCATTCGTGTTCTCAGTAGTACAATCTTTTGTAGACACTTCCAGTCCTTCACTTAAGAAAAAAAAAAAAAAAGAGGAAAGCCAAATCAATCATTCTTATCATATTTGTATGTATTAACATTTATTTTATAATGTGGACTACTATTACTTTAACTTATTATTCCATTAACTTCACCGTTTTTTGTGGGAAGTTAGAGCCAGTAACCATTTCTTCTCAGATATGCTGAATAATAAGCATAATTGAAAAAAAAAAAAAAAAAAGCACAAAGAAGGTGTACTATGCAACTTATCAGCTGCCTTTTAGCTGTGGATAGAAAGCTTTCAAATAAAGAGAAACATTATTTTAACTAACTAAATGTCTGCCTGGATTCCTTACAGTGCACAAGCATTCAGATTTCACCCTGGAGAGAGAGGGATGAGGAGGAGAGGGAGGAGAGGAAAGGAGAAAATACGCATGACTATTATTATGTTTTGATAATAGTGATTCCTATGCTTGAGAAATCCATAGAATCATCATAGAATGGTTTGGGGTAGAAAGGATCTTAAAGATCACCTAGTTCCAATCCCTTGCCTTGGGCAGGGTTGCCAAATTTTGTGATGCCTTTTGGAAACAGCCTAAAAATACATTCAAAGCTAGAGTCATGGTGAGCTATACAGACAGGTGTGCCTTCAGCCCTGGATTGCATTAGCCTGCCTGTGTCACTCCCCCTGGAGAAGGGCTGGGTGTAGGGATGTATGTCTACGTCAGCTACAAAACTATCACAGAATCATTAAGGTTGGAAAAGACCCTTCAGATCATCATGTCTGATTGTCCACCTACCATCAGTGTTTCCCACTGAACTATGTCCTTAAGTAACACAGCTCCATGTTTCTTGAACACCTTCGGAGACAGTAACTCCTCTACCTCCCTAGGCAGCCTGTGCCAATGCCTCATGACTCTTTAGAGAGAAAGTTTTTCCTAATATCCAACACTTTGAGGCCATTCCATCGGTAGCTTCATACCTACATGCTAGGATGCTGTCACCTCCAGGTAGATACTGGTCTCTCACCATCTGCAAACATGCCTTTTTCTGCCTGGCACACATACTCTCCCCAGCTAAGATTCTAGCCCTCAAGAGGTTTGAGGAGTAGGCAAAGCTTTGTGCACAGAAACCTCCACTCCAGCACTGGGAAGTGCAGGAAGAGGCATCAGCTCACCTCAGCCACAAAAGTGTATTTGCATTAGAGGAGGAGGACTGAGCTTTGTTTAACACCTGCACACACAAACATACCCAAGGGCAGAAAGGAGGATGATGCAAAGGGGACAGGCATCCCCAAGAAGTCTTCAGCTCCAGCCTAATGTTTTTCCTCACTCAATTAATTAATCTGTTCTTTGTGAAGCCTGACATTCAGTCTTTTCCTTTTGCTATGTTACTTGTTAAATCAAGATAAGCACACTTTTTCTAGAGCACTCAAGAAGGAAGTAAAATAACAGCTCTCAGATAGGCAGCAGAGCTGGAGGGAGCTTCAGGGTGAGATTAGAATAATCCTCATGTATCCTCTTAGCTTACTATCCTATTAAAAATGAGACTGGGACCAAGAGATTTTTTTAGTCTCAGAGATTAACATATGCTACAAAGAAGCTCTAAAATATTACGCACACGCGAATATTTTTCTGCACTACTAAAGAGGATAATACAAGTTTCTGGAGAGAGGTATTTAAAACAAGACAAACAAAAAAACACCCTATGGATGCAAGAGATTCTTTCTGAACCTGAAAAGCAGCCAAACCAGCAGACACAGTAAAGCATTTCTCCTAAATTTCTGATGAAGTCTCAAGTATGACACCTTGGAAAAGAGCATATGAGGTTGGGTGAGTAAAGAAATGTCGTCTTCTTAACATGCATGGCATTCAGTCCCTCTCTCCTTGTTGAATAGGATCTTAAGGAAGGGGGTGTTGGGGCATTGTCAAAGACACAGGTAAAAATCAATACATCACTGGGCTATTTGTTCTTATAATAGCCTGCAAAGTTGAACAAATAGTTCATAATAATAAGCTGCAATACAGGAATACTAAGTGGAGAAAAAGAGAGATAACAGGAAAATAATCAGAGTGGCAGCTAAAAGATGCATGATAGATCTCACTGTAGAAATGGAAAATTAAAAAGCCTTTCCACAATGACAACCCAATTTACAAGGGGAAAAAAAGAATGTCACATCTATTATTTTTCCAACAAAGAGACTGAAAAATACCAAAATGCATCCCTCGCATCTGTCTCACCAAGTAGACACAAACCTCGAGTGTATTGGTTTGCCCCGAAAACACAGAGCTTTGTGTCTACACTCAGGCTTCCCAGTACAAGCAGCCCTAGTGCAGGACTCATAAGCAGCAAACCTGAAGCCAGGCACTTGTCAGCACACACCTATCACAGCTTCTTACTTCTTTTCATCCCTATGCTGCAGGAGTTTTCAGCAGCAGGAATTCTTACAGCAGCAGCTAAATGGTCGCCCACAACTTCCCAAGAAACATGGCATTGCCACTTGCACACGCTGCCTGGTGGACTTCATGAGCACTGCCAGTTCTGCTGTCCCCACAGTGTAAAAGCAGATTTGGTTTCAGGAAAGGAGGTACAAGATTGACTCGAAGTTAGGAAAACTCTCTTATTACAAAAGAATAACAGAGCTCAGTATGAATAACTTAGCCTGCTAAATGCCAAGATGTGATCCACTCACGTTCAGGGAAGGCTTTCCAGTGTCTACAGGCTGTTTTGTCTAGCAGAATGCTCCACAAAGAGAAGACAGGGCATTTCTTGCAAGGAGAGCGAATGGCCATTGAAGCAAGAAACTCTGGAAGTTAAAGCTGGAGTTATTTTTTTTCCCAGAAGGTGTGAAAAGAAGTCCTCCCACAACCTAGATGTAGCATGCTTGATTCAGAAACCACCACAACTCAGCCTCCTAAAGCCTGCATTGTACGTATGTCACTGAAGAAGGGTCACAGTACTTTGCCTTAAACATAAGCATTTCCCTTAATGGCTATAAAATAATAAAAATGAAAAAGCAACAGCAAAATACAGATAGCATAAATGCTTTAATAAGTACTGTTTATCTGCAGAGGTGAAGCTAGAGGATAGGGCAGTTGAGTGGCTACAAGCTGGAAAACCCCATTTCCCTGAATATTAAGGAAGGGCTTGTTGTCAGTCTTTCCTGTGATACCAAAACTAAAGCTATTACAGAAGAGTTGAGAGCTAGGCTAGGCAGGGAC